CGGTGATTGGCGGGCGCGGGGGGAGGCGGGCCTGGCGCGCTCGGGGCCGGGGCGGGGGTTCCGCTGCCCCTTCCCGCGCCCACCCCGGGCCCCCCGCGCCCACCCCGGTTCCCCCGCGGGGCCGATCCGCTCCGTTTGCCCGCCCGGGGAATGCCGTCCGAGCCCGCGGCGCCTCGCGGACGTCTCGGCAGGGCTCTGGTGGGCCGGGGTCGGCCTTGTAGCCGACGCGGAGGGTCTGCCCCGGCCCCCGCCCGCTCTGAGGCCCTCGCCCGACGGTGCCCGGTGCTGGATCAGCTGTAGCTGTAGCCGATGGCTCTGCCCCCACCACTTCCTAGAAGGTAGAATTCCTGCTGTTTTTAACCTAGGAAGTATTTCTAAGTCACAAGTCCTTATCAAGTACCTGCCTTCTAGGCTGGTGTCCCCAACCCGACTGCCGGTGGGTCACACTTAGCACTTTAATCTGCTTATTGGCGCACTCTGGGCCGTCATCTGTTGCAGGCATTCCTGAGGTATGACCTTTTGGTGAGGTCTGAGCTGTGACTGGCTGCCCCTCTACACACTCCTCAGTTGGCACTCGAAGTCTGACCTTTGCATTTCTGTGTGACCCTGATATTCCTTATCTCCTACTTGGTTTCCTACGTCCTTGCTTCTGGTTCTCTATTTTGATCCAACTTGCAGTCATCCCAGCTCCAAGCTTGCCTTTCTCTGTCCAGGCTCCTAGCTAACCTTTGCTTCAAGAGATCTTCAAAGAGCAGCTAGTTCTGCTCACTTTGGGTCAAACTCTGGTATTAACCTCACTGTTTTCCAGAGAGGTCACTGGATGCTGCTGAGTGACAGCACCAGAACTGGTTTTGAAACTGGAGATGATGATGCTACTTCTGTCCTAAAGCTTTTTCCCTCCCATATGCATGCCTGTGCTCTGGCACCAGATTCAGTTGGCTCTCTGAAATATCACGGAATCATGGAATGCTTTGGGTGGGAAAGGATCTTAAAGATCATCCAGTTCTGTCCCCCCCACCATAAGTAGGGACACCTTGCGCTAGCCCAGGTTGCTCCAAACCCGATCTACCCTGGGTTTGAACACTTCCAGGGATCCAGGGGCAGTCACACCTTTTCTGGACAGCCTGTACTAGGATCTCACCATCCTCACAGGGAATAATTTCCTCCCAATATCCAATCTAACCCTACTGTCTGGCAGTGGCAAGCCATCCTCTCTTGACCTGTCATTGCAGGCCCTTGTCTAAAGTCCCTCCTCAGCTCTCTTGGAGCCCCTTTAGGGACTGTGGGGGTCTCTAAAGACTCCCTGGAGCCTTCTTTTCTCTAGGCTGAACATTCTTGACTTTTTTAGCCTTTCAGAAAAATAAAGTGTGTTGTACTGTGTAGATCTGATGAGGGTGAACTGGGAGAATTCCCAGTGCTGTGGCACTTGTGGTCCTGCACCTGCTGGCCTTCCTTGCCAGGTGTTATTGTGGGCAGGGTGGAAACAACAAATGGTTCCCTTTTTCCTATGGGTAAATCTGTCAAACACTTTATCTGAATTCAGGTGAATCTGGGTCTTCCTCAGGCTCTTTGAACCAAAACCTTATAGTTTGCAGTGAGAAGTGTAGCCTGTCATGCCGGGCAGCCAGAACTACAGAATCACAGAATATGCTCAGTTGGAAGGGACCCACAAGGATCATCAAGTCCAGCTCCTGGCCCTGCACAGGACCATCCCCAAGAGTCACACCCTGTGCCTGAGAGCACAGTCTAAACACTTCTTGAACTCTCAGACTTCGTGCTTTGACCACTTCCCTGGGGGGGCTGTTACAGTGTCCAGACATCCTCTAGGTGAAGAACCTTTTTCTAATACCTGACCTAAACTTCCCCTGGTGCAACCCTTGGGTCCTGTTACTGGTCACTACAGGGGAGAGCTCAGTGTCTGAACTAGATTCAGCAAGACAAACCTGGAAGGCTGGCTAGCAAAACGCTGGCCATGAAGGTGTGTTCTTTTCCTAGTCCCTGGACTAGGAAAAGAAATTTCATTTTAATCTGGTGTACACATGGTAACTGCTTTGACATTGGGCTGCTGCTCATTAAACTGGTCTGGGATATGGAAACCAGCCAGCTGGGTCACCTCTAGTCTTGGGTCCTACCTCTTGCGGGAGGAGCTGGGTGGAAAGGGCAGCTCCAAGAGGAGTTGCTCCAAGTGCCTGCACTTCCTTCAGGATGATTTCCACCGCTTTCCTTGGGCTGCAGTGGTTGGTTGGATGTGCATCAAACCCCACGGCTGACCCTGTGCAAACCCCCAGGCCTCCCAGTACATGCCCTACTGCAAGGTGAGACCTCTCAGAGGTCCTACACCGGCTCCAGATTACTTTTCTGGGTTCTCTGAGCAGGGGAGAGCCCCTCTCTGGATCTTCCACCTGCAATGATATTCATGGGTCTGGGCTTCTGAGGAGCAGCAGTCTTTTCTGGAGCCCACTTCTCAAGTGCTTTGCACTACTATACCCCTACTTTGCAAGCGATTTTCCCTGTAGATGGTTTCTTCCCAGCATTATCCTGGTGCACATCACAATAAACAAGCAGAGTGGTCACGGAAGCCCAGACCAGCCTGGGAAGGAGAGTGATGGAAGAAGCTGAAATCAAGAGATGTGGGTGGCTTTGGTG